GGGGGGGGGGGGATCATCGCTTACCGCGGAGTCCCCAACCCACTGCTGAGTACCGACACCGGCACGAGGGCAAAGCGCAACACCCCTATATCAACGCGAAACATTATTGAGAAAAACTAAACATACCTTGGAGTTGTTGAACTTCTTGGCGATCTCGTGGAGGGTTGCCGGGGGGAAACCTGCGAGCGGCACGCCACACCACACCAAGGGGCAGAAGCAGAGTAAATACAACAGGGAGGTATGCGAAACCAGTCCATCACGGGGAGCCCACCACAACTCGTTCGCTGCCGGGCGACAAGACATCGTCGGAAAAAGAAGGGAAAGACGATTAAACAAGTATATACTAGAACGCCGAGCGAGTACTGCCAGGGGAAACGAAACCGTCGCAACAACAAGGAAAGAGCCAGACAAGTCAACACAAACGCGGGGCATGTTTGTGGCCGTGTGCGCACCGATGTCGAACATGTAGACGTGGGTGAAGGGGTCAAATGTCGCGCAGCCGAGGATGTCTCCCCTGGCGAAGAAGAGGTTGTGCTTGGCGACGTGGACGCCGTTGCTGCCGTCGTCCTGGAGCACCCTGAAAACACGACACACCCCCGACCCAGAGAGAGAAGGAGAGAGAGAGGGGGGGGTGGGGGAGAGGGAGAGAGAGGTGGAGATGAAAGAGAGACAGAGAAACAGCGAGACAGACAAATGGACAGAAAAACGAAAAAACAGGTCGGTAGGTAGGCAGGCAGGCAGGCAGGCAGGCAGAGAGAGAGAGAAAGACAGACAGAGAGGCAGGCAGGCAGACGGACAGACAGAACAGACAGCGTGAGACCAACGGCTGCCACTGGCGCACACCCCAAGCACAGAAAAGAACGCAAAGCGTACAGTACAACAAATGGATCAACGGAGGCCCGCACGGCTTGAAATGCCGTGTACTAAAGTTGTTCGTTTGTCGTAGACCAAAGATCCGCCGCGCTCGGCCATGGCGGGCACGCAATGCCACTGCACGAAGCTACTTCTTTATCTTCGAAGGATGGACGTAAACCTTCTTAACCTTCTTACATCCTGTGGTTAGCGATGCTGAGTTCCCACCGCACCACCTCCAGCTCCAGACCGTACGAGATTTCTACCCCGGGGTCTTGAGCTACGTGAAAGTTGGGCTTGCCGAGTCCCGCCCCTACGTCGATGAAGCTCGACGTCTCGTCGAAACCCGTGTGTTCCTGTTAAAACCAACAAAACAAAATGCGTACGCATGCGTACAACGATCAACGAGAGACATAGGTCTAGAAGTGAGCAATGGAGCTGGTGTCATGTACGTAGAAACATACAAGGGCAACGAAACGACATGGATGAGAACTTAATGGCAATGCGCGCTGAAGTGAAAGATATCACAGCGAGTGTCGTCTGAAAACGACGGATCGCGACATCACAGAGCCCAACCAGACCGCACACTACAAACACGCCGCGTGGGTGCCTGCCTGCCTTGTCACCATTGCAGCGTTGGCGGACGTGGTCCTGTTCTTTTCCCGTGAATCGCATCGAAACGAATTGACGACGCTTCGTCCGCTCGATTCGCGAGGGTACCTTACCATGCTCCTGACAAAAGCCTTACAGTAGAAGCTTTTGCTGACCCTATCTTGGTGATTTGTTTTTTGGCCTCTGCCTTGGCGCCCTATTGCGTCGTTTTCCCCGGTTGGACCGTTACGGAAGAGGGAGTTCACAGAGTCACGGAGGCCGGAACCTCTTCTTGCCTGCCGAAGCTTGGAACGAATCAACAATCTTCACCCGTACGGGCAACAACAAGATCAACAGCAACAGCAACAGCAACAACAACAACAACGAGCATCAAGGCGAAGGAAGAAAGCGGAAACCACCCACCTTGAGCACGTTGACGACCTTCTGCATACCACCAACCGTAAGCTCCCCGTAGATCGCACCGTCGCTCCCTAACATAGGACCGAAAAATCAACAACGAGAAAGAGACCAGAAGAACACAGCCGTGCACGCGCGGGCAGAACAAAGATCCGATGGCTGTTGAAGATCTGATGGCTGTAAATATCCTGCTGTGTCGTACCTCTCGGACAGTAACGAGTGACGGCGTTCTTTCATTGCCTGCAGTCGGTACATCATACCGTGGTCGATGCCAACATGCCAACGTAAAAAAACGCACACACGTAGGCCCGTCTCTTGCCCCTATCCCCCTCTCACCGTTCCCCCCGATGTTCCCCGTTGCCTTGGCGACGATGGCGTAGACCCTGGAAACCTCCTCGGGCACGTCGACCCTCGCCTTCATGGGCGTGCCGTCCTTTCGCCCGAAGGCCCCTCTCTTCTTCTTGGTTGGCGTCTGCAACAAACATTTGTGGGATGTATGGAGTAGATAATAACATCGATTTGTCTAGAAAGGCCAGGTCGCGACGGGTGTACCATTTACGGGAGGTTTAACATCGAACACCTTTGAGAAAAGCCAGGTGGCGATGGGCTTGTTCTACAGTTTGTGGGGTTTAGCCTCGAACGCTTCTGAGCAAGTCAAGGTCGCGATGGGTGTACTGTTGACACTTCAGCAGCGCCCTCGACCCCACGAAGAAATTACTCCCGAGGTTACACGCTTCATAGTATGCGGGGATACCCCAAATATCGACCATTGCGCTTGTGGATGTGGGTAGCCTGGCCTGACCTAGTATCAGGCCTCCAATCTTTCCATCCTCGCAAACCAGAACGAGGACAATAAAAGTAGGCAAACCTCAATTCAATAGCGCGATCAAACGTACGCCGCCACCCCACTTACCGTTGTTTGGGGATGATGTTTCGATTTCAACCATCCCACTCCAACGGCAACATCTCTCTTCCGTGTTGCAAGTCGTTCAACGCCGTCAAGCACGAGGACTCTCTACCCCCTACCAAAGCTATTAGTTGTAGCGAACAATGAAATAAAACACTCGACTAGTCCCACGAACATGAGCAACCACAAGCATGCAAGCGGCAACCGCGAACAATGAAGAAACCACCTGCAAAGTTTTTCAATCCACAAGGTCTCCTGGTAACGCAGCTCTCACCATCGAGAGAGTACGCACTGGCCCCTCCACCGCTGCCTCCGTCTTCTTCTTCTTGCTTGGCGTAACGCTCCCCCCCCCCTCTTCCTCTCCG